CGTCCATCAATAAGTTTCTCGATGACAGGAAGGGCTGCGGGTACGACGCCTACCTGATGAACACGAGGCTTGGCTACGGCATTGACTGGGACAGGCTACGAGCCGACTACCTGCGACACTCCCGTACCGACGGCAGGGGCAAAGGCAGCCACCAGCAGACTAGCTGGCGAGACCGCGCGACAAGCTCCTGGGACACCTGGGGCAGCTGGCAGGGCGAGTGGAGTGATGGATGGCGCGAAGATCGCTGGCAGACGGGTGGCAAACGCGGCGGAGGCCGCCCCGACGATGGCTCCGATGGAGGGACTGAGCTCACTCCCCACTCCCAGCGCCTATGCGCCACCACGACAACCTCACTACACACTGCGTGCGGCCTTCAGCCGCTTTCTTACTCTCCAACCGCGGGGCAGCCCGACTGCCCCCCCCCTGGACGGCACTCTTCCTACCTTTGGACCATATGGTGTGCCGCACAGTAATACTATCTGCACCACGGCGTGACAGTGCGCAGCTCGCAGACCCTAGCTGGCCCCTGGCCCCGCTGCACTTACTCTTTCCAGCGGCATCTGAATCCTAACCGTAGGGTTCACGTTGTCCACTCTTGCTGTGTTTCACACCCTAGACGTCCCCTTGGCGCAGCCTTGAGACGCGCCGCGGGCCCCGCTCGCTTGCGGCGTTCCGCCGCCCTCCCCCTGACGCGCGCACCTCCTGCCTTTGGATTCAGGTGTGCGTGTCGGTAATACCGTCCACTCGGGATTCACTGTCGCAGGTGGACCTGTGGCCACCGGCCTTACTGTAGATGTTTTCACCCGCCAGGCGCGGCCTGGCGCGCGACTGTGGGCTCTGGCGGTTTCGCCTGTCCATAGACTCGTCACTCCCTGGATTCTCAACCTTTCAACGGCCTTCAGCCGTGCCCCTGGAATGGAGTGACTCTGAGGGACGCGTTTTGGGTATACGACGGTCCCGTCCCTCGGGTGCTACCCTACACGCGTAGGGTGGCGCTGAGTCACTTTGGTGGTGCACTCCCAGCTACCTCGTGTTTCTACCGTGTGGCTTTGTGCACGTTGCTTTGCTCTTACCAGTCGCTGGTCAAGGGCTCTGGCGCATCTCAGCTGTGGAAGTTTCTTTCCCTGGCTACTTTGTTCCACTCGCTGGATGCGTGTTCTGACGCCGCGATGGTCCGCTGCCGCCGTCAGGGCTTCCCCGCTGGACTGTGTCACCAGGCAGTCTGTGCCTACCCGTCAGACTCCCTGGAGTGACGTCCCGCTCGGGACCGTTCCCCACCCGTTCTTACTCGAACTGTTGGGAACGCCTTGCGCGCCATTTTGGCTGCGCTCGGCTTCCTCGGTGCCTGTTCAGACTTTCTGGATGCGCCATTGCATGTTCCTTTCAGGGGCTGCCCTGCAGACTCCCTGGATATGCACGCCTTGGCTCAGACGCCCTGGGTCGCTGCTGCCTGCCGCCTGACCGCGGCCCCGCGCGCGCCCGCCCTCCTAGTCGCGGCCGCAGCCCGACCGTGACCGCCTGCCGCTGGCGCTTCCGCCTGCGGCTGTTGAAAAAATATCCCCACCAGCCCGTCCAGAAACGACGCCCAGGCGAGTAGGGGGTCGTCCTGAGGGGCTTTTCGGCGTCTTGGGTGCCTCGGGGGGGCCTTTGTGGGCCGTTCGGGATCCTCTTTGGGGCCTCCTGGGGGCCTCTTGGGGCCTCTTGGGGCCATCTCGGGGCCTTTGGGGGCCTCCTGGGGGCCTCTTGGGGGGCCTCTTGGGGCCATCTTGGGGCCATCCTGCGGCCTCTTGGGGCATCCTGGGGGCCTCTTGCGGCCATCGTGGAGGAAATTGATCAAAGAAGAGGGGAGCGTTAATTAGCGTTGCCCCCTCAGAAGGCCAAAATGGGGCCCAAACCAAAGTAAAATCAATGATTTTGGCTTCCTCGCCGAGGCCGTTTTGGACGCTCTGACCGCTCCCCGCCCCTCTTGTCCAGGTCAGTGGGGAGGGGGTAGGGGTAGGGGTAAACCCCTCCCCGAAGGGGAAGAGGGAGGGGTGGAAGAGGAAACGCCCTAAACCACCGACGCCCAGAGGGCTGGGGGGATTTTGCTCCTTGGGGTCCTCTGGGGGGGTCGTCGTCGTCCTTCGTCGTCGTTCGTCGCCGTCGTCGTCGTCGTCCTCGTCGTCGTCCTCATCGTCGTCGTCGTCGTCGTCGTCGTCGTCGTCGTCGTCGTCGTCGTCGTCGTCGTCGTCGTCTTCGTCGTCGCTCGTCGTCGTTCGTCGTCGCTCGTCGTCGTCGTCCTCGTCGTCGTCCTCGTCGTCGTCGTCGTCGTCGTCGTCGTCGTTCGTCGTCCTGCTGGGCTCTCGTGGGCCCTTGTGCGGGCCTACTTGGCCGGTGGAGGCCGTCTTGGATCTGCTGGAGCGTCACTGTCCCGCTTCGAGGCCTCGAGGACCGGCGCCGTGGGGCGAGGACCGCCGCCGTGGGGGCCCCGCAGCCCGCTCGATCCCAGGAGCTCCGACATCTCTGATTTGCGCTTGCCAGGGCCCTCGATTGTGGAGGAGGAGGAGGAGGAGGGGGAGGGGGAGGAGGAGGAGGAGGGAGGAGGAGGAGGAGGAGGAGGAGGAGGAGGAGGAGAGGAGGAGAGAGGAGGGAGGAGGAGGAGGAGGAGGAGGAAGTAAGTGCGACTCTTTGCCGGAGTGACCTTTGGTGCGGGCCCGTTGGGGCCTCCCGATCGCCGAACGCGATGCCACTCTAGCGTCGTGCGTGCTCGTGTTTGGTCCTCTTATGCAGGGTCACTCTTGCGTGTGGCCGAGGCCCTGCTCCTCCGGGGTGCCCCGGGGGCCGCCCTGCGCGCGCGAACGTCAGTATTCTACGAATGCTCTCAACCTCTTGCCGGAGATTCTATCGGGCCGGTGAATTTGTGCTATTCTCATCCGTGCCGTTCCGCCTGAAAGCTTGCTCCGCCCACGCGTGCCGAAGTCACCCTCCACGCGCCCCCCTCCGCCGTGCGATTAGCCCCTGGAGCAATTACCGAAACCACTACTCGCTGGACCTCTTCAGTGGCGCGCTCTGACCAGGCTTCCGATGCGAGTCCACCTGTGGCGACGAGGGTCCTCCACGAGGGAAGGATGTTGGCATCGGTGCCCAGGCATCTGTGTGCCCCCGGCCCTCTCGACCCATCCCCGGGGGCCAGTTCTTCATCCCAGATCGGTCTTTGAGGGTCCCGGAGCCCGAAACAGGCTTCCTGGAGCTGAAAGCGAATAAGGCCCGACGGCATCGGCAAAGATCACGACGTCGAAGGTCTGGCGGCGTCGATGCACATGCTTCTCAGGAGTGGAAAAAACATGGACACAATTGATTGTCGATCCCTCGGAACATTAGAAAAATATGGAAGTGGGGTAGACGAAAATCGAGGAAATCTAAAACATATGGGGAATTCTGGGATTTGTGTGTATTTATTGCGAAGGCCTTACGGCAGGTGCCGCCGACCCTGAAGACGACGAAGGTGAAATCGATGGGGAGGGGGGGGGGAGGAGGAAGAGGAGGAGTGGGAGGAGGAGGAAGGCTGGAGGAGGCGGATGGGGGGGAGGGGGGATGGGGCTCGGGATCGCGCGAGGGGGAGACGTATGTGGGTGGCCTCCTTCGGGGACCCTCCCTAGGACCCCCCCAGGACCCTTCTCCTCGCGGGGAAGTGATTGAAGTGAAAGGGGCTTCCAGTCGACTCCACAAACGACGTTGTTCATTTTCGCTTGAGATGGTGCGCTTGAGGAGTAGGGCTCAGGGCAAAGACACGGGGGACGACGGAGTCGGTGAGGAGACGACTGTGAAGACAACGGAGACGACAAGGAGACGACAGAGACGACGACTCGACCGGAGAAGCCCCTCACACGCAGACGGGGTCGGTGTCTTAGGAATCTGGTGGTCCTACCCGCCAGTGTGCTTGGGTCGGGAGTGCGCGGCACGAGGAGGGGGAAGGAGGGGGCAGAGGGATGAAGGGGGCGGGGAGAGGGATGGGGGAGGATGACGAGGAGGAGGAGATGAGGAGAGGATGATGAGGATGAGGAGGAGGAGGAGGAGGAGGAGGGAGGGAGAGGAGGAGGAGGAGAGAGGAGGGAGGAGGAGGATGACGAGGATGAGGAGGAGGAGGAGGAGGAGGAGGAGGAGGAGGAGGAGGAGGAGGAGGAGGAGGAGGAGGAGGAGGAGGACGAGGAGGGAGAGGGCACAAGAGGATTAAGGAGGAGGAGGAGGAGGAGGAGGAGGAGGAGGAGGAGATTCTCAAGACTGCCCAAGAGGGCCCTCTTGGGGCCCTCTTTGGCCGTCTTGTCGCCCTCTTGGGCGGTCTTGGGCGACCGTTGGGAGCTTACTGAGCCGTCTTGGGGCTGTCTTGGGGGCGTCTTGGACGGAAGTGAACGCGGTGAAGGTCGGAAAGTCGTACATGCTGAAAGCGTTCGTTTTCGTATGGGAACTCGATGGGTGTGGCCTGGTGGGGCCTTCTTGGGTCTGCTCTTGGAGACTACCTGGGACGTCTGGGAGGCTTCTTGGACCGTCTCGGGGCCATCTGTGGCGTATTGAAGCGATCTTGGTGCGAGTCAGGGCTCTCTTGGCCGTCTTGTGCGCCGTATGTGGCGTTCTGGGCTCATTTTGAGACTGTTCGAGGTGTCGGGACCGCCCGAGAGGAAAACGAATCTGGGTGGCGACCCCTATCCCCGGGACCCCCCCAGGGACCCCCCCCGGGACCCCCCCCGCGCGGGGAAGGGATCAAAGGGAAGGGGCTTCCCTTTGAGTCTACAATGGCGTTAGAGGAGGGCCCAGGAAAAGAGAGGGGGGACGGCGGAGACGGCGAGGAGACGACTGACGAAGACGGAGACGGCGAGGAGACGACGGAGACGACGACGACGACGACGACGACGACTGTGACGACGACGGAGACGACGACTCGAACGAGGAAGCCCCTTGCACGCGCCGACAGGGTCGGCGGATTCGCGTGTCCCTGGGCCCCTGCAGTGCCTCTCCTCCTGAAGGCTGGACGGAGCGCCCCTGGGCGCTCCCTGGGGCGCCCGCGGGCGCCGCGGAGGCCGCCGGGCCGGCCCAGGAGCCCGCGGGCGCCGAGGCCGCGGAGGGCCCCTGGCGGGGCGCTGGGCCGGCAGGGCCGGCGGAGCCGGGGGGCGAGAAGCTTCCTCCTCCTCCTCCTCTTCATCCTTCCTCCTCCTCCGCCGCCTCCTCCTCCTCTTCCCTCCTCCTCCTCCTCCTCCCTCCTGCTCATCCAGGCCTCCTGCGGTGGGTTCGTCTCGTGTCGGCAGGCGGCGGCCCCGCCAGCGGCGTTCCGCGTGGAGCGCCGCGGGCGACCCAGGATCGTTCGACGTGGAACGATGTGAAAGTTTCGGAAACGGCCGAGCGTGCAAGGTTGCACGATCCCCGCGGTGTCGGAAACCAGCGCCGAAGTCGGCACGACACGAACCTGACGTAGATGGGGTCCGAGTAGATGGGGTCGGAGGGTCGCGCCGCATCGCCGATGCATCGCCGATGCGGCTCGATGTGGAGCCCGCTTTGCTTCATGGTGACGTTGCCAATGCACCGCCGATGTCGATGTTGCATCGCCGATGCATCGCCGATACGTCGGCGATGCAGCGCGACCCTCCGACCCCATCTACTCGGACCCCATCTAGGAGGCCTCTAATTGAACATCCCGCGGGTGTAAACA